TATATTGTGTACTATGTGTAGACAATTTGTCTTTACATTTTGTAAAAAACATTTGGCTCCATTTTGTAGGATTCAAATGAGGAATTCGATAAAGAAATGGTATTTCATACAAATCTTTTATTCAATGTATTTGATTAATGATGATAGTTTTCTGTCAAATCTAATTATCTATAACACGTGCTGTTGGCATAAATTAATTCATAAATACATGCGTTAATTAGAAAGTCAACGTTTTATAGGCTGTTTTACAATCTAAGAAAAGTTGTACATTGTACAATTATATTTTATTATTTCAAAGAAAATACTTTTTCAATAGTTGAGATCATGAGTCAATTGAAGCTAAACCATCATGGAAAACCTGGAAGCACTGGATGGCCGTTTCGTTCTATTGTGGGACTCCTCAGCAGTGTCAATTATTCAATGTGGAATGATTCCGAACGTCATTATAACGGAGTAAAATTGCATTATCATGTAACTGTGTGATTAAAATAGACAATTCAAATGAATGAATGTAATACATTAACGAAAAACTCTGCAAAATATGGATAAATTTATTATATTTTAATGTTTTTAACCATCTGCAAACGGCTTAAAGCTATAAACGGAAATTTTGTTATTTCATAAATCCTGTTCATTGATTATGAGTTTGAAGACAGATGAATATATATATGAAACAGGAAAAAGCACAAAATAGTAGTGGTGTACTAACGCAAATGGGGATAATCAAATGTTCGTGAATAAAAAATTACAGAATCTTTTGCTGAAATCTGAGAACCATACAATAATTTCTTCGTTTGCAAAATGTCAATCACCTGTCTCAAACTTTATTGTTCATTTGTTTCCACACCAATCATTCTTTGTTTTCATTCTTTCTTCTTTGATCTCCTTAACTTTCTGCATCCAGGCATCACACTTTTGATTGTCGATGTAAATTATTTATATCTGTCGACATCAGTAAAACACACCAAGATATATTTAAAATGAAATCATATAAAGTAGGGAAGGTTTTCTTAGAAACTGATTAACCGGTGAAATAAAATTCATTTTAACAAATGGATGATTGCATAATCAAAGCATTTAGTTAAAATTAATGAAATATGCGAGAATTTTAAAAGGAATTAAAAAAGACAGAGTATTTAAATAAAAAAATCTTATTTAACAGTGGTAGTGGGAGGTAACATTGTATTTTCTTGTACAAATGTCAGATACAAAGCGCTTAATGTTAAGGGTCACTGTAAATATTAGCATAAGTGCCTTTGACTACTTATGAATTATTTTGAAAATTTTCTTTTAACATATAGGTAAGTAAATTGAATTGCTAAACGAAACGAAATGAGTTATTCTGCTCTAGTAATTGGGTAAAAAATAATCAAATCACTGTTTATGAGAAGGGGAAGAGAATCAGTAGATTATTATTTAATAACTTTCAATCACCTTTGTAACTGCATATCATCAGAGTTTAGTTTCATTTATCACAAGGCAAAAATTATAGATAATATAGAAATTGTGATATTTCAAATGTAACTATGTACAATTTACGTTGAAACTTAAACATTTAGTGAAGACAGAATAATCAAATAGCCATTAGAATGCGCTATAGATAGTTCTAAAAGTCACTTATCGTTTTATAGCCACCGTTACCAAAATAGTTATTTGTTACCACGGCATTTTCCATTTTATTTATTTATTTCTTTTACTTTGTTATCAAATGGTTTACTATGAAAAATATTAATGGAAATAAAAGATTTAAAACAGTTGGACAGTAGGTGTCCGAAGTATTTTTTGTCTCCATACCTCATTCACTTTTAATAGTCTCATCTAATCTATGAGACAAAAAGTAACGAAATCCTCCAACCTTAAGATATGCATGATCAGCACAAATTAATTACCGATTACTTTTTACTTTGCATATATTTTTCAAATCAATACTCTATGAAACACCTAGATCAGTATTATGATAAACCTTTTCCTCAACAACAACAACAAAAATAATTATTTCACCGAATGCATTTGCTTTTTGTTTTATTTCCATATAAAAAAGTAAATAGGCGACATATGAACAATCAATAACAGTGAATAATAACAAATTAATGAACTAAAAATCTATCTACTACAATTGAGTCTACATTTATATAAACTTTTGAAAAGCTTGAGCAATTGTTTTCTATTTATTTGTTATTAATTAATGTATGAAATCAATGGGAAATAAGTATGAAACACCTTAAGAGACTGTTCTTAAATAACAAAACATAATAGTCTGATAAAAGATGAGATAAGATTCCATAGGTGAGAGTAGAAAATTATTCCCTTAATTCTCAAGCGAATAAGAATTTATAAAGACTTAGTTGTAAAAGAATTTATAACACGTTATACGTAACTCTGAACAGAATAATAAATACAAATTAATGATACGGTGAGGGTTCAATTGTAAAATGTAATATGAGTTAGAATTTAAACGTTAAGGTGGCAAAATATTGAGTTCACTTGATATTGTTTTACTTGAATCTTCCCATCGATGATTAAAACTGAAACTGACCAGTGTCTTATTGGCATATGTGCATTCTGTGAGTATTGTCTCGATATTGGCTATCAGGACTCAGTAGCAAAGTAGATAACGTGATGGTGTTTGAAGCGAACGGTACTGGATTCGAGTCGAAGAGTGAACATCAACTATGAGATCCAGGTACATCCACATGACGAGGGCCAAATTGGACGAAACGCGCGTCCCGGATTCCATTATCCATCTTTGTTTATTGTAATGTATTGATTCTGTGATCGATAAATCAAGGGAAGGATAATTTTAATTCATTATAGGTGATCAGATGATAGAACATCTACAACAATGAATGAATTAAAATGCAGTAAGATTTGTATTTTAGTTTTCATAAACACGAAAAAATTAATCTTTTATGTGATTACCTTTTAACCGGTTTCTAAAAAACATAAAATTTGTTTTTCAAACAAACGATTTACGCGGAAATATTAAATATAAAGTAAAATATTGAATAAAAACATTATCATGAAAGTATCTACTAAACAGTCGATAAATACATTCTGAATGACACCTAAAACTAAGATGATTGGATTCTAAGCTAAAGCACTGGATTTGATAGTTTAACGATAGTGATAACTTTTAGCCAATGTTTCCTGATGCTGTGTTGATATGAATACAACCTATTTAACGTATTTGGTGGTTTCATGGAGTTCATTGGTTTTATTTACAAACTGTAAAACTATATCATCAGAAAACAGCAACAAGATATTGTTGTATATCTACCCACAATATTAAAGAAAATAAGTTTATTGTCAATGGAATAATATTTGTTCATGGAATTGTCTCAGGGGGGATATAAACTGATTGGGAAGATAGTAAAATTCTTCCTATGAAAATTTTCAAAGAAACACTTAATTGAAATGAAATTTTTATTGATCAAAAGTGACCTCTCAATTTCAAGTGTTTACAAAATAAAACTTACAACAAATTATATGTCACTCTTTAGCTAATATGATTTACTTATTCCACATTTGATAATGCATAGTCTTTTACTGAAGACAGGTATTTTCCTGATATTCACTGATTTATTAGGAATAATCATATAAATATACGATGTGTATGTAATGTTAATTATAGAACCGACCATACCGATTCTAAAAGTGATCATTCTAACTTAGTAATTGACGTTTGGTATTATAATCCACATTAAAGGTAGTTAACTGTGACATTCATTATCTCATATCCTAAACAGCAGAGATTAGATTGGAATATTTATGTAGATAACATTCCGTCCTACTTGTGTATAAAGATTGTAACTTCAGTCAATATTGAGGCGGTCCGCACACGATGCAAATATGCCAATAAGAGACTGATTAATTGCAGTCTTGAATAACAATGGGAAGATACAAGTAAACAACAAGTGAATCTAGTGTATGTTGGCTTTATTATTTTACTCCAAGTTATTGTATGTCATAAAAGATTCATATTATGACATTGAAATTTATTTGGTACATGAGACTATAATATTTCCTTGACAATGAACCATTAAATATTGAGTAATAATGTCCAGTCAGTACAAAACAGTATAACGTAACATCTTGAATAATGTAGTTTTTTTTTGTTTTGAAGGTAAATAAGTAAAATTACATATATGGAAAATCTTGAAAATCGTTATCACAAAAATTGGTTTATTCTCCACATCTTCTTAATCAAAAGTAGATTAATTCAAATAATGAATTTCTATGTTGTTTTTAATATTTTCTGTGTGATTTAGTCTATTTAGTCTTTGAAAGGCATCAATTTCTATATTAACTTCTTAAGTAAACTTGAACATAATATTCCGAGAGCTTAGTTACTTTAAATGGGATATTAATATAATAAATACAATTGGTAGAATGTCAAAAGAAACTTCTACATTGACATATTTAAAGGTGAAATTCCTACACATTTCAGCCCCGTTCAAATTGATGGTACATTTACTAAAACTTCTTATTTTAATAAAGTTATTCTTTTATTTTCAGCGAGTTACTATAAGAGTTTGTTATCATAACACAAACAACTTCGAGTTATTTAGCGTTACTGTAGTGAACAAGAACACTAGTGGGGGACAATCGAATGCATTTCAACACAAATTACAGAACATCTTAGTAAAATCTTAAAATCATACAGTAAATACTTAATTTGCAAAATGTCAATCAATTGTCTAGAACTTGACTGTTTCTTTTGCAAATATCAATCCATCGTCTCAGATTTCATTGTTTTTTCATTTTCATACCAATCGCTTTACGTCCCTATTCTTTCCTTCTCGATCTTCTACTGAAATACGTTCTATTCCTGACCATCATTATATACTACTTATGTGGGCATAAGCAGCTCACACCAAACTGCTATATTGTAATATATATAGCGATTATTTCTTAATTATTTTCCACTAGTTTATTACATTTGAATTAGATTCATGTATACTTTAAATAACTTCATTATAACTTTTATATTCTTATTATAGGTGAAGTTGACCCAGTATATCATTTGCTAAGATGTGCTGCGAGTAAAAGTCAAACTACAGCTGTAGCTACAACTGGTATAATGAATTCTAGAATTAATGCCAAAACAAAATCCTCTGTACCTGATACACCTATGACAAGTAAGTTGATTGTCATTAACTGACAATTACTCAAATGGTTTAAATTAATTGTTTCGGAATGTGTTGATAATGTAAAGCCTAGTTTTTAGTCATGCTCTTTTTGTGTAGAACTAAACAATTTATTTTGCATATGATGTTTCATATAATCTTTGCTGATCAGGAGAAACTTTACGCATTACAGAAATCTTCAATAAATATTTTGTTTTTTTATGCTGGAATGTTTCCCATGTTTTGAATGTCAACAAAGATTTTTTATCTGTAGCAGCCTATTTTGAAGCTGTTGAAATGATCAAAAGTTATTAAATTCGCGTTTACAGCTGTTATAGACTATTCAAACAAACAGAAAAAATAAAATGTCTCGTTTATATTACCCGGAAATCTGGGTTCTGTGAATACTTATTTATTCATTTGTCTTGAATATTTATTTTTTGTATTTCAGTTGAGCTATGGCCTTACCTAATTGTTATTTGTAAGCATGGAAAACGCATTTGTGGGAAGGGAAATACCTGTGTTAAAAGTTCTCTTTCTCAGAAGGTTGTTAGTTGAATACTCTCTGTATATATTTATTCATTTCAGACTAAACAAGCTTTTAACTATTTCAAAAAATAACTTATCAACTAGTCATAAATAAGAGTATTTTAGTATCATTTGTAATCGTTTGAATGTAACTAAGTTTGAATCACAAGAAGAACAATAACTCATAGATCTGAGTGCCAAACAGTACGAAACGAATATTCTGGGTTCCATTATTAATTAGGTTTCATTTATTTCATATAAAAAAATACTTTTTAAATAGTAAACTAAATATGCCAGGTACGTATAGATTGTATCCGTGTTGAAATGAATCTAAGAATTTGTTCTTACCATTATATTACATATAAAGCCTACTATACAGCATCTACTTTACAAAAAAGTGTTTTAATGTTACCAGTGTTGAGATGACAAAAGACCTTACATAATCCGATTTATCAGCTTGTTGCTCATAGAATTTGTCCTCCTGTGCGGGCTAAATATAAACTATGTGATATAATCAGTTTTATTAATTCATTTGAAAAGATTTATTTCTGTTGAGTAACAGTTTTTAACAAAGGATGAGTATAAGGAGTCATTTAAAATCACTTAAATATGTATTATATGATCAATAATCTAAAACATAAAGCAAATAAACAAATTATTCTTTAGTCAGTAAAAGAGAATAATTGTTTAAATTCGCCTGGTATTGTTTGTTTTAATCTTCCTGTTGTTATTTATGAGTGCAATTGATCAGTCTCATGTTGGCATATATGCATCCTGTGCGGAATGCTTCAATATTGCCTTAAGTCAAAGCTTTATAAGAAAAGATGGATAGTGGCTAGCAGTGGAATCCAGGACACGGGTTTCGTCCCATTTGAGACTCGTCTGCTGGATGTTCCTGCATCTCAGAGTTGATGTTCGGTCTGGGACTCGAATCCAGTACCGTTCGCTTTAAACTATATTGCATTATCCATTTAGCCGGTGGGAAGATACGAGCGAACGATGTCAAGTGAATTTAAACTTCACCTCATTGCACAAGCAGTAGTAGCGAAGTGGATAACGCCATGGCGTTTAAAGCAGACGGTACTGCGTTTGAGTTTCTGAATGAACATCAACTCTGAGATGCAGGTACATGCAGCTGACGAGTTTCAAATAGGACGAACCATGTGTCCTGGATTCCACTGCTAGCCACTATCCATTTTTGCTCATAATGAATGTAATTGTTTTTTTTTATGTCGTCCGTAAGTTATTAAAATTTAATACATACCATTACTACGGATAACAGCCACCAAGAAATCTCAGTGCAAATAAGTGGTGCACACTGTTCAAAAGGATGCTAAGTAAATTTATTTTATGGGCAGAGTAGACAGGTTGCATCCATGTAGTCAATATAAATAAAATATAGATGAATGACTGAAGAAAAATTACTATTTGTTATTCTACGGTTTACATAATTATTTCTACTTGACCGCGATCACTCCATAATTTCACTACTAAAATGAAAACAATAAAAAACTGTATTAGAAGTCTTTAAACATCTACGCGACCTACCCATCAAGTTCACTGATGACATTTATACTTTAGTTCCCTGAAAACTTGGAGAATTTGTTAGTGGAAAAATGGGCTTGTGTTTGAAACACTTGGTTTGCAATGAATATGTCGCAGACTGAAACTAAATCCAGTTTTGTTTGGTTAGTAAAGTATTAGGACTGTGCTGTTATTTCTGTTTTTCATCAATGAAAATTTATCTATTTTGTGAGAGTATATAAGATGTGTGCCTTTGATATAAATGTATCGTTGTCTTTTATCGTTGTTTTCTTTGCAAAATCTGTGCTGGAATTATTGTTGTTTAATTTATTTTCTGTTGTTATTATTGTTGTCACCGTTTTTCATATACAACATATTTCTGTCCATTTGTTGTGTCATATCATTTTTCTTACCAATACAGAATCAGAGTTAACAAAGAAGTTCACAAATCGTTTAGATCTCAGTACATCACTGAAAAATAATACAAATCCATTTTATTGATTGGAGATTATCCTGTATGAATTCACCAACACTATGTACTATTCTTTTTATACCTTTAGCCTTTCACTATAACTTATCTTTATCTATTTCTTCATCATACAGTTATTCACTAACCTATCCACTATAGATATGCATGTACATGAAAACTCTCTCTCTCTCTCTATACATATACATATACTAATGCACGATTACATGATTTCTTCATTTTTCTATTACTTATGTTCTCTTTTTTTTCTACAAATGTTCGTCATCCGAACAAACTTTCAATGATATATATGAACAATTAAAGTTATGCTGTATATTTTCGTTATTATTGTTATTCATGACAGCTGAACGTAATTCAGTTGTTCTTTGTTTGTATTCTGTGACATATTTGTTGTTTCTTTACTGTTGTTATTGATATATTAGTCATAGTAATCAGATCATACATCGTTACAATTTGAATATTAAAACAAGAAAACAAAACATATTCAATAATTGGTTGTTGTCCGTTATCACATTTTTTCCTCATTTTATATATGTGTAACTTGTAAAACCTATAATTACATTTATTAGTAATAATATAATGTAATAGTAGTATTAGCAGTAGTAGTATAAATACTACAAAGGCAACAGAATATTTATTTTTCATATCAGTGTTATTATTAGTACAATCATAATTATAATTTATTATTAATTGAGTTCATTATTAAAATTGATAAACAAACAACGTTAAGACATTATTATTTAGACATTAACACCGTTGGATGCCGGCTCAATGGTTTAATGGTTAAGCGCTCGAGCATGAGACTGATAGGTCCTGGGTTCAAATCTCGCGGGGGTGTACGTTGCTGAGGAGTCCCATATTGGGACGAAACGGCTGTCCAGTGCTTTCAGGTTTTCCATGGTGGTCTAGCTTCAGTTGATTCATGAATTCAACTAGTGAAATTTCTAGAATCTCTACAAAACCCCTTCTGATAATATTAAGAAGTATTCATAATTTCCCATAATTCATTGCATTACTTTTATTATAATGAATGGTTCGATGATTATAGATAATAGGCAATAAAGTAAATTCATTTTGAAAAGAAATTCCTTTGAAATATATATATAATCAGAATAATTGTAATTTATGTCATATAATGTTACTTCAGATTAGTTGTACTCTCTAAGTCAGATTTTATAATGATGGGTTGTAAAAGATGAATGATAAGCATAAATGAAGTATTAGGTGAAAATAGTTGAATACTTTCATAGGGAATTCAATAAATCCAAACCTTAATGTATTCAATAATAACAGTTTACTTTTACAGTGTTTCCTCAAATAAGAATGTGATATCTTAGAGTTGTAATTTAATTTCCAAAAAATAGTTGACATTTAATTAATTTGGACTTTTATTCTATAAGTGGTTACTAATTGTATATTAAAATCTAACTCTATAGTTTACAATGCCAGTATTTTCATTTGATGCGTAACTCTGACGAAGGACTTGCATCGGAAATATTGTAATTCAGTAAGAATTTTGTTAACTTGTAAAACATTCAAAATGTTTGTAGGTATCATTATCAAGGTTTGACTTGATAATTTTGAATAAATTGAGTATTGGGTAGATTATTATAAAGAGATTAATAAGGTTGTCATAATCCAATAAGTAGAAAAATTAGATTTTTTGACGTTTGGTGACTCAATTTAAGCCACATCTGGAAAAATCAAAATTGTATTGTAGTGTTGGTTATTATGTTAAGCCCGTATACCTTATTCTAGCTTTCGGATAGCCTATTCTATTCATTCTACTTGGGTCACGTTTTGACCTTGTTAATTATTCGTTTATCAATCTTGACTGTTTTTATATGAGCGCGTAGGTGTGTATACACTTCTAATCCCATTACTCATAACACGTCTGTAACTTATTTTTGTGTAACTATAAATACTGAATAACGTGTGGTTGAAGGGGAGTTGGCTTACCCGCCATCTCCACTGCGCGTCGTTCCTCTTCTCTCTATTCCATTCGCTTCATATACAAAATATATGTATTCAAAAGTCCATTTTCGTATTTGACTTATTTAATTCCATCATTGACTAACGCGATTAAAGTCGATGATTATATACGAGGATAGGCGACATATATTTCAACAACAATCATCATTACAATCTCCTTGGAGTCAGATTTCGGGCCACTAAAGTGGCGAGCCATTTCGACAACATCGTTCGATTTAAATGACGACAAAATTAAGGGCCCCACAGTTTATCTAAAAAAATCGGCACAACCTCTTCTACCATGGTCTTAATGTCTCATAATTTTATTTCTTCTTTACACTTTTCTTTCTACACAGCCATCTGCTTCTCCTTCTATCTTCTCTATAGACATTTTACACCCAATTGATTTATTTATGCTTCTATGATCCTCCTGATTACATTTCATCACAATTTCAACATTTCATCTTACCATGCTTAGACATCATTTCTCAATTATACTTTA